CAATTCAATGGCATAAAACTTAGAAAGATGATTCTCAATGGTTATGTGTTTTTATTTATTCATATATACCTTTGTATCATAAAAACTTTTCACATCTGTGTACTTTATACCTCCAATCACACAACATATATCTTGATTGTTAAAAACATGTCTTCTACTTTTATCATTTCCCCAAACTATAACCCCTCACTTTTACCAAAGTATTTGAAGCTATCCTGTACACATTACAGAAGGGCTAAAGCAATCATTGTTCTTATATTGCTATAACACAAGCTAGCAGTTGGTATATTGAAATAACTAAAATAGATGTTTTAAAAAACAAGTACAACAGTAATATATGCCATATGCATAAAGATATGTGCAAGTCGCAAATTAATCTAAATTATCAGAATAAAACACAAATATATGATTTTAATTATCAACAACCACATGATACTATAGTAGAAAGACAGCCTAAATAATAAGTTATTGAAAGAACCTTTTTTCCTGGTTTTAAACATTGTTTCAAATTCTGCTGGAACCCAGAGAAAAGTAAAGCATATCTATTGTTTGGCTTTTACAAGAAGTGATTAGTATTACACCTAATTTTATGGGGGAAAAAATCTTTCTCAAAAGCTTAATGTATAAAGTGCAAAAATTTACACATTAAATTTATGTGTGGATGGGTTTACAGCTAAATTTGTTTTAGAGGCATTAAGTGAGTTCATTATTTATAGGCATCCTGGAGATAATTCTTTTTAAAGCACTCCTTCGAAATAAGTGATTTATATGTTTTATAAATCAAAATTTCTATACACTGGGTTTTCTTAAAGAAAAGTATGCCCAAAGGAAAAAATCATTATTTACTCTTATAAATTATGATCAAAACACTTTTTTTCTTAAACTCCAAACTTTAAAAAATAGTTCCATTCCTAAACCAATATTTTTTCATATAAACCCATGTCCTGGAAATGCACACAATTTCCAGTAACCTATGTTACTACTTGGGAATTCTTAGTTAGGAAGATACCAGAGCAATAAATGACTGTTTATCACCCCCAATAAATTCAATACAAATAAATTTTTTTAAAATAAATAACTGTGTTATCTCTCTGGCTTCATTTTAGCCTTGCTGTATTCACACCCTAGAGGTTCCAGATTCTTATCCACAAAGTGATTATGGTCTAGCACAGAATCAGATTTGTAACAAATGTCCACTGGGATCCTTCAACCCATCATAGACGGGCAGAGCAGATATGTCTTCTAGCTCACTAAGCCCGTTCACCTCACCTCAGGGACCTTCCACAATGCTATGTGGTTAGAAGCTTTCTTTCACAAATGATGAAAATAAATGGAAAAAAAATTTTCAGAATAGAAAAAATGGATGCCCAAGTTATTATGTAGCACCTAATGGTTACCCTGCATCTACCACCTTAGTGCCCAAACACACATTCTAACATGTATACACTAAGGGATAAGGTTTTAAGTTTCATATCTTTAATTTTTATCCGATTACTGATATGTACCATTTATATTAACACTTCAATATATCCAAACACACAATAGCATAAAACTTCTAACAGTGATCTATAATAGTATAGAACCCATTGTGATTTGTTTTAAATTTTCTAGAACAAATAAAGTACAAAGCTAATAAAATGACATTGCTAATAAGTATGATTTTTAAATAAATATTACCATATCAAAACGAAACTAACAGCAGTTATGCCATCATTGATAAATAAAATACAGACTCTTCCTCTTTTTCTTAAAAGGTAATTTAGCATCTCATTTTCTCATTTATTTTTTTGCTACTGGTCTTTAAAATGCATTTTTTTCTCAAAAAAATCTAAATAAAAAGCATGTCCAAAGAGAGAGAAGAAAAAATTGCAAAATACGATATTTTTTAAGCTTACATGTAGCTGTACAAAAATCTGTCACCATCTATGTTACGATTCTAGCCATCAATAAGGTACTTTTTTCAATGCACCGCTCAAAAATCAATTATATCAACTCTTTTGTATAGAGAAGCAGCACACCTTTCAGGCAACTAGTATTAATGAGTAGACATGACTATAGAATCTCCATCTGTTTCTCTGACAAAGCTGTGGCTACTCTAGTCTCTCATTGAAATTCCATTAATCTGGTGTACCAAGGTCCAATGCGAAAATCAAAACTCCATCTAACCCTTTATCAGCTCACAATAACCTACAAGTGAACTCTGCCTGTTAGCATGCAGCAAGTTATGATTTTGCTATCAATCAGGCAGTTGGCCAATAAAAATAAGAAAAAAAAGCAGGCTGGAAACAACATGTCTGGCAGGGTGGGGAGACTTTGTTTTTGTTTTCTGTTTTCATCCCCTTTCAATTTCTATAGGGTGTCTGGACCTTGTGAGATTATGCATTATCCTCCTTGGCTGTGATTTAATTGCTACCAGCAATCAAGTCGAAGCATCACTGAAGTGTGCTTGAATTTCATTAGAAGATATAACTTATGCTACTTTCCTACAGTACCTAATAAACCATAAAGAAACCAAAACACATATGGCTTGAGGGAATAACTGGAAAATTAGGTAGCCATTTGGGAACTGAGTGAACTTTTGAACCAGAGAAACAGAGAAAAAGAAATATTAAAGGAAAAGACAGACTTAGAATGCACACAGAGATGTGCAGGTTTGACCTTTCGGTGCCTTGAAAATTACATTAGCATTATGAAAAATACATATCATGTTTAGAGTTTATCATCCATCAGAGTTCAGATATTTTGTTAGTGCCTACCATAAGGTAAAAGTCAAAAGGACAAAACAACAATCTGATTTGACAAAAGGCCTTTTGGTGACCTGTGCTAATTTAGTTATACTTATTGTTAAATGCATTATCTTTTCATAATTAATATATCATTAGACTGAGATCACATAATGAAGGAAAATTTATTCAGCAAAGGAAAGAGAACACATACGAATCTAAGTTGCAGAGAGAAAAACTGATATGACTAGAAGATATTTTAGAATGGAAATAAAAGTCCAATTGGTAGTTTTAAAATTAATTTATATTAATCTCAGAAAAAAATGTAAAATATCAAAATGGTATTATTTATATACCAAAAATAAATAATACTAAAAGTTAAGTTTTATTTCTGCTCAAGAATAGCTTACATAAACAATAATGAAAATGCACCAATATTTAGTAAGAAATTTAGTGTTATAAATGTTATTAAGTAACATTTAAATATTGATAAAGTAACCTTTTAACAATAAATTTTATGCTATTAATGTATTTCCTGCTTATTTGGTTATGAAATAAACATAATAACTTATTCACTCATAAAAAAGAAAACAATAATCATGTAAGTGCTCTATAATAAGGGAATTAATAATAATTCACTTTTTCTAACAAAAGCACTGGCTCTCATAGATATTTAATTGTTGGATTTCTTAGGTTTTTAAGAATATTTTTAAGAATGCATATAAGTTCCCCTTGTACATCAAAATATTTATACTGTTTTGAGAAATCCTGAGTGTATATATTCTATGAATATTCCATATGTGCATGTATATACATATATACTTATATATATTCTCGTGAGTATAAATATCCTGTTTCTATATATGTATACATACACACACATCACATACTCATTTCTATCAATATTTTACAGAGGAGCAAAACGAATCATTGTAATGTGCCTGGAAAATAGTTCAACTCAAATAATAATTCATAATTTTGCCTGAAAGTATTATTTTATCAATTATAAAACATTATGCAGTAGAAATGCTTTTGAAGATCAGGTTAGAAAGGGTGATGCTCTCTTTCGGATAGCAAGTGTGACTGAAGAGCAGGGAGCGTCTTTTTAAAAGACAGATAGAAAATAAAAGGGAAGAAAAATCCCTTCCTTTAAAAATAGAAATTAAATGTTTACCAAAATGTAAAATTCAACATCAAATGGATATGATTATTATTGCTGCACATTGTACAAAGTTCTGAATATAAAGAAAAGATTGTGTTGTTCTGAATCAGTGGTTAGAATGTTTATCACTTATGCATGTACTTGACTTATCCCTGTTCTGCAATAGACATAATTTTATACCTCATAAAAGCAATTTATGTTTCCAAAGGGAATAATCTGGATACCATAAAATGTGGAGTGCTCTGTTGCAGGAAGCATATTTTCATTCAGCAATTGTATTTAGAGATGGAACTGCACAGTTTGATCATCATATAGTGGCAGAAGGCATTACTCATTTCCATGTCTCTGCGAAACTTTGAGTGCCACAAATTAATATGCATGGCTAATTTATCGATACACATTCTTAATTTATAACTACATATCACCCTGATGAGATCTCTGTAATTCAGATGCACTCAACTGGCTATAACAGAGAAAGCACACACTACACGAAAAACAAGTTGCATAACTTTGACAAGTTTTAAAAAATTATCATGAGATAAACACTCAATTTTATTGCTAATCCAATTAATACAAAGCACTATAATATTACCGCATAGTGTGGGGCAGTTTTAGGTGACAATCAGAAAAATGAAAATGTGTATTAAAAGAAGCATTTGATGAAAACCTGTCTCAATGTGAGAAGGCAATGTAGGGATAATTAATTTAATATTTTATGAACTAATTATGTATGAAGTTTTCAGGGGGGAAAAGAGATCAAAAACCTTTTTCATTATTTATAAAATAAATAATACAACAAGCCATTAGCAGCATACTAAAATTAAGCAAGAATCTTATAATATTAAATTAACCAACTAACTTACTAATAATATTCATATGATGATGCAAGCACTCTTCTCAAGATTCCAGTAAAGAAAATTTCCCAGGAAATGAAGGAACCACATACTTAGGAAAACCACTAGAGAGAGCTCTTCTGTTCCTTAAAAGGTTCCGGTAAAGATAAGTTAACTGAAGCCTGTGCATTTATCTGCTTTCTGACAAGACCACCACCTGGACACGTTGCATTATTTGGTGTTAGTGTCAAGACGTATATTCCATGGGAAAATATCACATACCATCAGAGGGAGCCTCATCATCTTTATCGTATCTTTCTGAGGCTAATGAAATAGTGTCTGGAGCCCCAGAGAAAGGATCATCATATTCGTCCCCATCTTCTGCATCACCTGTAAAAGAATCAGAGAAAAACCTTTTATAATTTAGCCATCTTAAAAAATGTTACTTTGTCAGAAGAGGTAAGTTTTCCTATTAAATTCAGTCACTGTCATAAAGAAAAAAACAAAGAAAACTTGAACTGTAAGAACAGGTCCTATTTTAATGTAGATCCACTGTAATTTAGATAAAGTTAAGAGTTTCTGAAGGTCGGTATACAAGTGTTTATTTCAGATACAAAAGGATTCAAGTTTTAAAATTATGATGGTCTCTACAAAGATGAATAAAAAAATAGAAGCAGGGTAAAACAGAGCGTGTATCCAAAATAAACGAACAGGTGAAGCCAAAATAATGATAACAAGGATGACAAAAACAAAACACAGAAAGCACACAGAAATTATTCAACTTACCATTTACCTACTCAATATTTGAAAAATTGATAATGCAAAGCCATATGAACATTTTTGTTTTCATTAAAAATCACAGGATAACGTTACGGTAAAATTTAAAATGGTGAGCTATCACTGAATGAAAATTGAAGGTATCTGGTTTGTAAATAACCTCGTTTAAACGTATAAGGGTTATATATGTTTTAAAGCAGCTTTCCCCATACAGGATTCCTGCTCTTGAAAATGCAATTATTTTTTATCTACTGTAAAACGTTCTAGCCAGTTTTCTACATGATTTCCAAATCCTAGGTTGGTTGGTTTGCTGGTTGGCTGGTTGGCTAATTTGAAGCCATTTAATCCCCACAATTAAATCTTGTGGTTTGGATTTTTCCCACATACTCATTAGAATGATTTTTTCAAAAGAAGGTTTCAGATATTTGCTAGCCCAGTTATATATATAAGCACTCATTTTGTACCCATATTCAACAACTAAGAAAAATATATACTTAATACTATACCAATTATCTGTTACCAATACTAGTTCTGTTAACAACTTAAGAGAAAACCAGCTACCTTAGGGATTAGCCAAAAAGCATGGTGAAAATCTCCCTAGGAACCCTAGAACACCTACAGAATTACTTGTAGACCATGGTTGCTGAAAAGATCCAGATTAAAGCTACCAGTCACTCCAAGGGACCTCTATATCCTCTGACATCCATTTGGTAGGTAGCACTCTATTGGTACGGAACATAGCCTCTTTCAAGATAAAACCATCCAAGTAACTTAAAAAAATCAATATTCATCTCTATTTCCTTATAATGTTGATATTTCACCAGCATCTGTCATCCTGATCCTGAAAGAAAAGACAGGATCTCCAATCAAGACAATAAGAGCAGAATATAGAGAAGACTACTTATTGGCCTCAGTGATTCCGCCACGAGGTGCACCAGGCATGGTGATGCTTCCTCCCCCGTTAAAACTGTAAGGAGCACGTACAAATACTACTCATTCCTCAAAGCTTAATTTCTCTTTCTTACAAGATGTTCAATGTATTTTTTCAGAACATTAGTGATCCCTTACAATATTTCTCCTCATGGAAAGAAAGTGCTCTGATTTAAACCATGAGGTCAGAGAGAACCTCGCAAAGTGCTAGTAAAAATATGTGTGAACATGGAATGGCAGCTCATGGAATATGTGGTAGTAAAGATCACAAAATTTTCCATTGCTCTTAATGCTAGAGTACCCTAAGATTTTTTATAAGATGAATTTTCAAAGGATATTTCATATAATTAACTATAAAATAAATCTTGCTGTGAAAAAAAAACTAGGATACTTCAAATACATCACCAGAGCTTGCACTCAGCATATTACACTATTACAAATATAAAAATACAATGCTGAAATCAATGACTATATGGAAAGGATTCTGAGAAGTATTCATATGCTTGGGCTTAAGTCTTTTAATTTCTATGTGGAAATAAGCTGAAAAATAAAACTTAAAAAGTTTTGAAAATCAGGGGGGTGAGGGAAGGTAGGAGAGTATAAAGTGGGGCTAAATGATGATGGAAGGAGACTTGAGTTGGGTGGTAAACACACAATACAATATACAGATGATGAATTATAGAGTTGTATTTGTGAAACCCATATATTTTATTAACCAATATCATCCCAATAAATTCAATTTAAAAGAAAGAAAATCAGAATTAATTTATCCTTAAATAATCTCTTATATATTTTGTGTATGTCCATACGTATACATACATACACACATGCACACACACACAACATAAAGATTATTAAAGCTATAAATTCAATAATACTTAATATGAGTTATGAATATCCCACACAAAATTGGTCAATGGCATATTAAAGACCTTTGCTTTTTGGTTTTTGTTTCATTAAAAAACAATTTTGGATTATATATATTAATGTATGTGTGTGTGAAATTGTCTTAAACTTACCCATTCTGCAGCTCATCTCAAATGTTTTTTTTAAAATCAGTGTGATATTTATATTTATCTAAGACAATGTGAATTAAGTGTTGTTACTGGACTCAGCCCCCGCCCCGCTCCTCCCCCCCCCCCCTACTTTTAAGTTTTCCTTGAAGTAGCTCAGAAAGTAAAGAATAAAGATTTCTGTGGTATCTATACAGGGTTATTCCCTTTTAACCTGCATTAAGTTGAAAGGCCACATCACTTTTCAATATGGTCTTCTTCGTTTTACTGTTGTTCCAGTGATGATGTATCCCTTTGCCCCCCTCCCTAATTATTTTTTCAACCCAATAAAGACCTGCTGCATTATAAGGGGTTTTAACTGAACACAGGGGTCGCTGTTGAGTAGTGCAATGTATTTTTCCCCCCATGGGCTGAGTATTTGCAGCTATACCTGCAAAGGAAAATGTTCAACTTGAGTTTATGTAATAGAAAACTGAACTCCAAAGTAACGAAGGGCATCAGGTAAACGTATCCAATACAATTTACAGACATAATTGAAAGCATTACAGACTAATCAGACATCTAAAAGAAAAGCATCCTCAAATGAAATGTCTACAGAATCATTAGTTGGCAGCCATTCTATTAGAATCACACATAATGTCAGTGGTGCCTTGAGCCTGTGCCAGTGACAACAGCATAAATTTTGCATCTCATTTCAGTGGTCATAAAATTAATGATCAGTTTAAAAATACTTCTTTGTAAAAGTTATTGCACAAAGAAAAGACATGAATGTGTCCCTGTTATGTACTCACAAGGATAATTATGGGGTTGTTGCTCATTAATACTGTTTCTTGTTTCCCTAGAAAAGCATCTGATTTATCCCACAACTTTCAAAAGTTTAATTAATGATACAAAGTTAACAGCCTAAAAAACAATGATCCGAGACTTCCCTTCCCATATTCAGTGGCAACTAAGATATCACAGCAAAACCAAGGCTAATCACACCATAGCAATATATCTCTCGGAAAAACATTTTAAACGTATAATAGTTGTGCTCAAATCACTATTATGCCTTCTGTTTTATCCAGCTCACCATCAATTAGCATTTCCCTAAATGCCTAGATATAAAGCACAACAGTAGTAACTAAACAGTCATGCTCTCTACCACCATTGAGGTTGATTTAACTAATGTACTGCTTATTTTGTCAAATACAGTCTTATTTTAAACACAATCAGGTAAACCTTAAACTAAATAATATACCTAAAACTTACAAAGCATGAAAGATAAATGTGGGGGCAGCGGAGAATTATTTGAGTGAAAACAAATTAATTTCTAATTCTCTACTCAGTTCATTTGTCCAAACTAATTTCAGAAGTAATAAAATACAGCTAAATAGACCTACACATTTAACTTGTCATTTCTTAAGGAAATCTATAGTTTAATTCTAAAATCTTGGAAAGATTTAGGTCACCACAAATAAGATTCTCTTCATGATTCTTCTATCATAGGAGCGCTAATTTATAGTGTGCAAATGTGAGGCAGAGTTTTCGAATAAGAATAGCATTTCTCAAGCACTGCCTCTGCCATATACTTCTACTACAGGTCCCCAACCTCAAACATGCTTAACACATTTGCACAGAGCTGGAGATGCAGGCGTGGGGGAGGGCTGCAAGTCATCTGCTCAGATTTCACTGGGGAGCTAACTTTCAACAGAAGTCAGGAAAGGGAAAAGAAAAGAAATGAAATGTCACCCAAACTTCTGACTTTTCTGCTGTTCTTAAGGATCCCATCAGAACAAACTAATTTCCCTTCCTCCCTACCAATCCTGCTATTTTAAAAAGCAGTTTAGTCCATTAATGAACTTAATACCAATGAGGTCAATGAAAATTGCTTTCTAAGTAAATCTATACATATTTAACAATATCAATGGACAAAATTAATTTTTTTTAATTAGAGGGAAATATTTTAAAGGAGAATAGCTAAGGGAACCGAAAATAATAGATTCATCTTTTCTAAAGCTCTAATAACTTACAAATATAAGAAATCTTCTCTTGAAGTATTTCTCATGTGAATATTCACACCCTTCTTTTAATAATTTATAATTTCCTCAAAAACTATTTGAAAACTGAATTATAATTCAAGATTTACTTAAATCCTCTTGATGAATGAAGTGGAATCTGGGAATATAATATTTACTGAACACCGCTATGTGTCATGCATAGGTGTCTTCACATTACCTTAATTATTCTCTACAGAAAATAATTACACCTAAGTCATCACGGGAGTAGAACAAGACTAACATAGGGGCAAGATACAACTATAAGTAAAGTGTTGTTTTTTTTTATCATGTACCTAATATATATTAGAAAATTATACTTTATACTCAGTCAATAACAGTCTTTACTCAATTATTTCAAGTTGCATTTAAGAGACCTATGACCTTGTTATGTGACACAGAACCAATTCTAAAATAATCGTAATTCTAGTCTAAAATAATTCTAAAAATGAACATATTCCTAGTACATAAAGCGTATATTCAGATATACTTTATACTACTGGCCTATATGGCAACTAAGAATAGGAAACCAGAGTTAGCCCATAAATCTGTAATGTACAATATTTGAAGGACACAAGAAGGAACTCTATTCTAGGTAGAAGAGGCAATATTTCAAGTGAGTAACAGGGACTAGACTAAGCAAGATGGGTCCTCGTTGCTTAGATTCAAATCTTTCTCATTTACAAGCAAAATTAAGGAATTTAGAAAACCAACTGATCATTTATTCTCAAGTCACAATTTGTCAGACCTCCTCAAGGGAGAATCTAGACTTCAGGATATGAAGAGATAAAAATGAGGACCTTAAGAAAGTAAAGAAATGAAAAGGGAAGTGGTAAGACCACAGCTTGCTATGGAAATGGATATAAACAGCAAGTAAAAACTTAACTTAATGGGCAAGTTTCTTATAATACAAACTATTCTCATCCAAAAAATTGGAATTAAAAACAAATTTTACTCTGAGATCTATGTGGCTTAATGTATCAATTCAAATGGTTTTAAGAACTGAAATACTGAAAACGGTCAATTCTGTACTGTTCTGTCTCACGGTGGGGGGGGGGGGTAGCATCTACAGTGTAGGGAGGAGGAGATGGGAGGGGAAGTCAGGAAGGGCATTAAACCGTTATGTACCTTGGAGAAACTAAGAACACACTTAATAGAAATGAATAAACCTGGATTAATTCATTCTACTTCAGAGCTCACTACCTGGTCCTTTTTCCTCCCAATAATGATATTAACATGGTAATTAACTGTCATTTGAAAAAAATAATAAAGTATGTGAAACAAACAGGAGTCCAAAGGTAACCAGGAGGAAAACAGCCCCTGTTCACTTCATTGTGACCCCATATTGACCTGGGAGAAGAGAGAGGGAAAGAGAAAGAACAGGAAAACAGCTGAAAGGAATCTGCCCAGGTCACCTTGGATGAAGACAATCCAAAACCCCAAGGGGAATATGTGAGAGAAAAAAGAAAAGCAGCACTTTGAAAACATGCATGGGCGCATGGATTAATTCAATGTAGAATCTGATCATCAATAAATCCCTATTTAATTTAAGAAAGTATCATGAATAATTACTTTGCAACTATTAAATGTGTACTTCAGTTTACCATCCTAACAAACTATAGCAGGGGTCCTCAAACTTTTTAAACAGGGGGCCAGTTTACTGTCCCTCAGACTGTTGGAGGGCCGGACTATAGTTAAAAAAAAAACTATGAACAAATTCCTATGCACACTGCACATATCTTATTTTGAAGTAAAAAGACAAAACGGGAACAAATACAATATTTGTATTTGCATGTGGCGCAGGCCGCAGTTTGAGGACCCCTGAACTACAGGAATGGTCCTGTTAGAACAAAGCTGACTGTACTTTGAGGTGAGATGGCACAGAATTGCTCAGCTTCTCATATTTCTCCAAGGTGTACATCTACTTTATCCACAGGCTCACTTCTGAACAGGCACTCCTGGTGATTAGTTAGCTCAGTACAGCAGTATTGAACTACAAATGACTTATTCAGAGGGAAATGATTATGGGGAATCTCTGAATTCTGTGTTATTTGAACTCTTAGTCTAGGCTCATTTTTCAGTTCCTATCAAAAACTATATAAACTTCCATTCTCTTTATAGAAAAAGAATGTATCTCAGTAATGTAATTTTAATATCCACACACCTGAACAAGTCCTAAACCAGAATACCGAAGGGAAAGTTCCTACCCTATTACTGAATAATAAGCAACCAGACAATGATTTCATATTATCATGCTTTCTTAGCTTCAAATTTTCTTAATGTGTAAGTCACAATGAGAGAGTGACAAATAATCCCTAGTACAAAATGTGCTTTTAAGAAGGCAAAATCTAATATTCCTCTATAATCAGTACACTGTATAAAAGTTATCATAATTACAATGTATAAAGTTATTATTTCTACATTCGACTAAGCAAAATGAAGCCTAATTAAACCCATAGTTTAGGGTTTGTTGTAGACTATCAAACAGTGGGTATTTGTGGGAAGGAGTGTCCCCTGCTCTTCTCTTTAACAGTGTTAAAAAATTAAAATGGAAAAAAAAAATCTCATTCCCTCCAATCACAACAATCTTAATGATTTAACGTGAAAAGTACTGTGGTTTCCTTTTAACTGTTTGATTTTGGGCTTGTCTGGCTAAGTACTTGGTTTACTGAAACTGTCACTACTCTCTCACTTATCAGTTGGCAGAGATATGAATTACTCTGTGGTATCTGCTAACCCCAGTTAGAAGATGTCATACTGTTTTCGCCCAAGCACAGATCCTAGCTCTGCATAGGTTAACTGACCTCATGTTGTGACCCTCATACCAGCGTTCACAGGACTCAGGTCATGACCTATGAATTAGCATCATGCAAGTATGGGCCTTACTGAATTAAAGATGTGAAAAAGTAGGGACTTCCTACGCCTCTCCTGACTTGGTTTTTAGTGGGCTAAGCAGCTGTTTCTCAAATCTAAAGGAAGACCATCAGGTTATCAGCACTCTGATATATTTTAAAAAAAAACAAAAAATGAAATTCTTCTTTGAAAATTTCTATGGCATACATTTATTCATATCAAAAGGATAATAAAAACCAGCATTTGAAAAATATTTTCTTATGTTCTTGACAAAAATTGATCCTGTTTTTAAAACAATTATCCTTAAAACATTATCTATAATTACTCAGCCCTGAGGCCCCCTGCTCCCATCACTACTATGAAATCATCTCTGCAGTGTTACATGGTGTTGGGTTGGTATCTCATCTCTGCTTCACCAAATTATTCTATGAACTACTGCAAAGACAGGCCTTTCTTAACCAATTTCTGTCACAATGGACTCTAAGACACATAAAACCTAAGAATGTGAATTAACAGGGATTTCTTCATCAGATTTGTGCAGAGTAGATTCTGGATATACTTTTTAATTTTTTTCTCAGCAGGGGGAGCTAGCACTCTCATCTTGAAAGTCTAAGTATACAGTCGGATATTTAAATTTTGATTCCAACTATTACATTTCAGTATGTGTCAGATCATCCACAAAGAAAAATAATGTCAAGTTTGACAAACTTGAAAATTTACCTTTGTCTTTAAATTCCTGAAGATAGCTGCAAAATAAAACAAGAGCATTATATTTTAAAATGAGGACTGACAAATCAAAACAATATCTAATAAGTGACAATAATTCAAAGCTATTTTAAAATGTATATTATAAACATATATTTGGAGGGGAAAAAACTACCTCTTATCCTGAAATGACAATTCCAAAAGATTTATGGGTTTATAATAAAAGTATTTTTAAAAACCTAAGTTACAGTAGTAAAGTCAGAACATACCTTTGATACCTACAACTTATATTAATTCATTTCAGTATTGGTGGTTATTTTCCATATTTGTGTTAAAATTCTCAACCTAACTATGTCTTATCATTTAAAAAAAATATATCCTCACCTAAGCAAAGTAAACAGTTGAATTTTGCTAGAATGTTTACAAAAATACATATTCACAAACCTTCACAAAAAGAGTATTATGATAAGCAGATCTGTTTTTAAAAGCTATTATAGTGAAAATATATATTGTCCTATATAAATACTTAATGGCAATTAAGTAACATTAAAATTTTAATTCAATGACAATAAATTCTTTATTAAAACGTTAATTACAAAGTTGCTTCTAAGTAAAAAGTTAATAATAATAGGCAAGTAAATGACTTACGTAGACTTTACATCTTTGATCTTCTTAATAAGAGATTCTCTCTTTTCCTTTGCTTTCTTGGATAAATTTTCCCCTTTCAGTATGTCTGTTACAAATGCTTCAACATCTAAACATAAAATATAAGAAACAGGATACAAATTGTAAGAAAGAATCATTTTTTGTGAAGACAAATAGGACAATGATTTTTTCTATCCATAAGTGTTAATATCTGTACAATCTGTTATAGTTATTTATCAATCCAAAGCATTACAGTTGAAGTATGTTTCAAATAGTAAGTTGGACAAATTCGTTCACCACTTAGCTAATAAAATTTGTATGCTCTACTTATGCTTAGCACAGCAAATGCTGTTTGGATGTTTGGCATCATTAAACCAGGAAGAAGCACACAAGTTTTAATAAACTACAGTGTCCCATAAGACAAATTCCTACAAAAGCAAGCACAGAGTTTTTATCCATGTGTTACTACCATTTAATAGTATTTTGTGAGTTCCTGTATGACTAGGTCATTCAAAATATTACGCCAGTATAAGCTAATGTCTCTGGCAAGGCCTGTTTTTCCCATTGTAATCTATTTTCAGGTGTTCAATGCTTTAAAAGGAAAAAATAAATCTCCTTTTCTAGCCAAGATTCCCCAAATCAAACCTCCTCCTTCCTACCTGCCCCACCCACTCTGGCCAGCCACCTCAAATAAAAAAGATAATCAATTGTGTGGTTTTGTGTGTTCTAGCTTCTTGCCTTGGTATTACTATCTGAAAACATTTCTTTAAATAAAGGAATAAGTAGCAACAATACATTCATCCACTATTTAAAAATATAGTAGCCTAGAGATAAAATGTCTATGGCCTCATATAACATTTCCATATATCCTCTTTTTAAAAAATTAATAAACTTCTAAATTATTCTGCTATCTAGTTCTCTCTAGTATAAAATTCCAACAAATCCTCACCGGTATGATTTTATAATAGCTCCATTCTTATTGTTCATGAAATATTGTACAACTTTAAATTAACTTTATATACAGAATTTTAAATCCCATTTTGAGATCTCTAATACAGAGGATACCATAAAAATTTTTCAAGTAGGTATGGCTGTAAATCATCCATATTTCATAGTGAAGAAAAGTATGTATGTTTTACTTTCTCTTTACTTAACTACTTTGTCTCCTAACACACTGATAAAAAGGTAGTATCAAGACATACAATAATGTTACATGTATTACCTCAAAGCAGTACAATAGTCTTTCAGCTGTACTTCTAATTAACAATTTAAAACCTAGTGTTTGAGATAGAATGTAATCGGTTTTAAATTCTTGATTACAAAAGTATCTTGAGACCATGAGCAACATTGATAAGCTGTTGTTCTCTACATTCGCAATAACTGTGTAACGGTCATTTTTCCCTAAATCAACATGACAAGTGAAAGAAGGAAAATTTAATCTCGATATACTTTTCCAAAAATACTAGTAGCTTTCTGATATTTATGTCAAAAGCAAGTCTCTAAACAAACGGAAAGCAAAGTGTCACAGCTTCACTTTGTTGGAGCTGCGCATGTTTTTGAAGAGGACACAGAGGCATGACCCGGCACCAGTGCAAATCAGACCCAGCCGTCCACGGGGAGTTCAAAATAATAAAACGCTATTTTTAAAAAGTGCTCTCCTCCACACGCTTTACATTTTGCACCCACAGGAGCGCACAAACTTCGGGCCTGCGAGCATCAGCTGAAATGGAGAAGCTCATTGGCTGCTCTGAGGTGGTCACAATAAATCTGCCGAGAAAGTGGAGTCAGGGAAGGGGCAGCATCTTCCTTCCAGCCCGACTCGGCCCTTGCGAGAATCCCGGGCACAATGGCCGGGGAAGAGTCTGGTTCATGTTGCTTCCCCCTCGGTGTGAGTCTTTAATTCCCTCATCCCCGAGTATTTAATGGCCTACTTTACATTTTCATTATGCAATCCAAGTTTAAACAAACGGGATCTATTTTCCATCTCCGGAAGCAATAACAGAACGAATTGCAGCCCAAGAATTATTTCTGTAAGAGGTCATTTCAGCTCCATAAAAGCCAGAAAACATCAAAAGCTGCGATGCTCTACATAGTGTTTCCTAATATTCTCCAAAAATGGTTTTAAAATCCGGATCCCTGCCGGTATTTTATGAGGAAGGACTTGTGAGAGGGTGAGGCTGCGGGAACCAGCTATGTCGTGGTGGTTGTTTGTTTGTTTGTTTTCCGGGTGGGGGAGGTTCAGAGGTTGGGCAAGGGAAAAAGATCTATATTTTTAGAGTAATCTCCATGTATTTATTCCTAAACTTATTCCAGGAAAGGGGTTTACGGCAACTAAAGTGATTTAATAAACAATTTAAAAATTACTTCTCAAAGGAGACCAGGAAGATGTAGAAATTGCTTTGCTGTTTTTCTTTTTCTTTTCTTTCTGTCTTTGTTAACAAATAAGAGCTTTAAAGTGGAAGCGATGGCTGCAATAATCTTAGTTTGTTGGTGCCCACTGACTCGGTTAGGCTTTTAAGTTTCTGAAATCTGGATGTTTTTATGAAAACCCACCCTGTGCCCGTTTAGTTTCGAATCCACCGAAACCAGCCCCTCCGGGCACAGGAGACCCTCCGGCCGCGCGGGTCCTGCCCCGGGTCCCAGGCAGAGGCGGGCGGCCGGCGCTGGGAAGCCCCTGGGCTGCCCCGGGAGGAGGTGGGCTCTGGGTCCGAGGCTGTGGGCGCGGAGTGTTGACCCCGGGGTCCCCGGCATGGGAGCGGTGAGAAGGGAGCGCTGGGTTTGCGGGCAGCACCGGCGCCAGGCGAACCGGACTGGATCGGGGCTTTGTGGCTCGGGGCCGGGCCGGGGGAATATTTCAAAAGCGAGCAGAAGCCCTGGGCGCACCCAGCGCTCCGCTGGCTGGCTGGTGGGGAGCGCGATCTGAAGCTTTTTCTTGGGCTCTGAATAGCCCTGCACGCGGTGACAGTGACGCAGGGAGCCAGCAGCCCCTTCCACCTTCCTTCAGGGGTCGTGTCCCCAGTTAACAGGCGGGTCGCAGACGCCAGGCCGCCTGGAGGTCGGGGAACAGCCATCATTCCATGGCCAGGAAAGGTCAGCCTGCCTCCTGGCTGGCCTGTGGGCCTGGGGAGTTAGCATTCCTCCTCCTCGGAAGGAGGCCTCCACTCACGGGCGCACTCGCCACGGGGGAGGAGACACTCGGTTCTCAGAGGCCCCCAGAGCACCAGGTCTTACCCCCGCCCCCTGGCCTGCAGCCTGGAGCCTGGTCCACCGCAGATCAGCGCCCCTGGGCATCCCCAGAATGAGCCCCATCTCCATCAGTCTTGCCCTCAAGTCATCACGGGGGGGGGGGGGGGGGGGGGGTATCCCAGGCACCGGACAGTAAATGTGCTGCTTTTTGCTCCCGTTCCTCCTCCATGCTGTCAAGAATAAACATCTCCCAGTAAGACTGTAAAGATCTGGGGGAGAGGGCCCCCATAAGATCAGGTTTACAATCGCTCTGCAGATAAATGTGAAGGTCTGAAAACAAAATTAAAAGATGACATCACATATTGGCTCAGCAACCTTCCAGCAGTTTAACTTGAGAAACCTTTCAACAAGCCACCTCGACCCCTACGAGGCCAACACTTAGCACACACCAAATCACCAAATGGTACTCCAACTGTCCTCTTCTTTTTCTGTACATATGTACCCCCCTCCCTCAGAAAAAATGTCACCTGCGTGGCTAGGACAGGTACCTAACACACACACACACACATAAAGGCTAACTGCTTTCTACCAACTTCTATACATAATGAATAGGTGAGACCACACGAGGTTAGAACAGTCTTTAAATTCTTGCAAACAATAAAATCAACTGTGGCCTTCCTGGCGCGGAGCCCCAGCACAGGTTCCCACTCTGGAAAAAAGTGGTTGTTTGACCACTTGCCCTTACTATCCTCCACCAGCAAACAACCCAAAATGTGACTTCCAGGCTGGAGGTCGTAAACAAGTCACAAGGGTAACACCTGGTGTTCTCAGCTGTCCCCCAACCACCCAATACCTCCCTGAGTGGACAACACACACACACACACACACACACACACACACACACACACACACACACACACACCCTCTGTGATGGTCTCAACTGTATAGAAGAGGGAGGCAAGAACTAAACTGAATCAACTACCATTTGCTCAGCACCAGATCAGTAAGTGTAAAACCAACCGCACTCCACCCCAAATGGCTTTATTACTGAATTCCACGTCTTCCTCTACTTTATGAACAGGGCCAGGCTTCCGTTTGTAGTCACTGAGGTGTGATCACCAAACTTAATGTGGTACGGATCCCAGCCAAACTTTAAGCTGGCATTGGAACAAAAAGACATGCTTTGCTTCTCTGTTAAAAGGAGATATGGCTGGGAACACACTCCTAAGGGTGAAAACATAAAAATTAAACTGGGCACATGTACATCATGGAGCCAAATGCCCACAGTTGGAAAATGGTTAATTGAAAAGTTATTGATTGCCTTAATCAATGTCTTTCTCTTGATTGCCTCGCACTTTTACAGGTGATGGTTGCACTGTGGACTTTTCTAACATGGAAGAAGAGGCATGAACAAGCACAGGAGCTCTTACAGAAGACATACCTGAGTCTTATATCCTATCATCTGACAAAACTTTCAAAATTGATTTTGAAGGCTAAATAATTCATTTTGATAGAAAAATAGGCTGTGGAAGGACAGAGATGAACATCTTTCACCTCTAAAAGATGACTCTTGATAAACAGCACCTTATAATAATCAAAATCTTTTTACCACGCGTTTTCAAAGAAGCCACAGTGAATAACACATTAGTCTGAGATTTACACTATATTCACTGTTAGGCAGCATCTATTATAGTGTGTTCAGTATGTGATTGAAAAAGAAATGTAAACTCAGTGGAATGAAAAAAATAGACTTGGCTTTAATTGAAAAAGACAAACTAAGTGAATAATGAGTATATAAAAACTAGCCTATGCCACTTTTATCACCCATATATGACACTTAATCTTAAATTTATGAGAGACAACTGAACTGTTTCAAATCACCAGAGGCTTCTCCTACTCTGTTGTTTCTATCTTCTTTCTAGTAAGACGTTAGTGCTGATAATGTAGAGAGAAACTCATTTGGAAAATTTTTATACTCTGCTCCTTTTTTAGTATATTTAGAATCCCTACTTTTTAAACAGAAAACCAGTGATCATTTGGATGGAGTAACTATAAAAAACTGTGTGTGCTATCAAGAGCCTTACTTAGTAATCTGAAATGAGAATACTTCCCATGGAGAGCCATGCGGAAAACAAGCCAACCCCAAAGATCCCCTCCCAGGGAAAAGTAGGACACCGTATGCTTACGATAGGTAAATAATGTTCACATCTTAAGTCATCTGTTAATCTGACTCATAGAAGAAACTGTGAGTTTCTGGCCCCTTGGCTTACAAACACATTTTCTTATTTCTGGAAGAGAATATCTTAGAGTTGTCATAGACTGATTTCTTTTTGAGATAAAATGTTCTCATGTCAACTTTATGCTCATTAGTTATCTCTGCCAAAATGGGACTGGCTTGCTCTTGCTCTGAAGAAAATCCAGGTGCTAAAGAAATAGGTGACTATTGGTGACTCAGTAGGTGGCACTCTTCCCTTTACATACTCAGCCAATGCCCCGGAAGAAAGTTAGGGGACACTAGATACACCATAAATAATTCTCATAGGAAAAATAAAACCAAAATGTTGACCAAATTATAAATGGAACTTTGGAAAGGTGGAAATCAAACCATACTATTCTCAGCAGTAAAAAATAAATAAAATAAAAATCTGCCTCTATTTCAGTTAAATTGCACTCTTTACCTAATGCCCCCAAAGGGATTATCGATTATAATTTGTGAAAATTAAAAAAAAAAAACTGTTCTAGAGATCCCCAATAGGGGGAAATGCAGTATTCCGATGCAAGACTGCCAGGTGAGCAAAATCTCAAGGTCACTTTACAGGAACCACATAGCCACTTTGTGTATTGCTTGTTTGGTCTGGTTTTGATTTTTCAGAGCATTGATATCCACTATATTCTTCTTTTAATACTGGTTTCATTTTCTAATTTAATAAAAAGACACCAGCATCTTCTTAACAGTTTTCCTTTTTCAGTGTGTTGTCCTCAAGCACATGAATGACAATATCTGACTGCAAAATGCTAACACTCCAGTATTCAAAGGGTGAGTAAACATATGGAGGAGGTTGGGGGCCAGTGGTTCCAGTTCCTCTCACTTTCTTGGCTGCCTGGAGGAACAACTCACATAAATCAAGATTATTCTTGCTGTTAGTCCTAGTCAAAATATTTGGATGTAGGAGAAGATTAAATGGACAAGATTTGGGGTTATCCTTTGATTCTAATTATCCAGGCTAAACCTGTTCTTCCACTGTTGTGGAAAAAAATTACACACAATGCAATATACAGACCATGTGTCATAGAAATGTACACTTGAAACCTATATAATGTTATTAACCAATGTCACCCCAATAAATTTAATTTTTAAAACTGTAACGTAATTTTAAAAGAAAAAATATTAACGATTGTCTGTATATGGCAGTTCAAAATTTGCTTTTAACAACAGAAATCTGTAAACACTTTTCCATTCATGAAACAACGAAGAGATCAAACACTTTTATAAAAAGTATAGGCTTTCAAGATTTAAATACTGATTCCGTAGAAATATAAATAAGTAACAAATTATACAGCCACTTTTTCCAGAGTACCATTAAATGCCAGTTAAGAATGATAGCCTCTATGGGTTTTTGCATTTCTATAGAGTGTTGTCGTTTTAAGTGGGAAGGAATGAGAAGGGGGTGAGGAGGAAAGCCTAAAAGTTTTATAATCAGAAAGAAAAATAACAAGAAAGAAAATAATAAATGGCAAGACTATATTTGAGCACCTACCTCTATCAAGCAGTTGAAATGTCAAACATTTAAAACACATGACATATAATGACTTGAATGAGACACATGGAATACAAAGGAAAATGTCCAAACATTCTTATCTTGAAAGGCATTATCTTTTGATTTTATATTCTTTTTTCTGAGGGCAAGGGATTTAAAATGCCTGAAAAGTTTAGGTGCTTGCCTTCTCTACCTTGGAATTCTAGCACAATGCCATGCATCCCAAGAGCTCTCAATTGTTAACCACAACCCCCAATATCTCTGTTCTTAGTTTCAAAGAAAGAACTAGGTAAGCCAGTAATATCTATAAATTTCAAACCAATACCAATTCTTCTATAGCTTTAGTAATTTTTATATTTAATAATACAAGTCATCATGTATAATTCCAAAAGATTTGTTGTGGATGAAAAACGTGGGGAAAAACTGAGAGTATTTATTCTTGAAAATCTCCTTACCTCAAAAAAGATTGTAATTACAGTCAAATATAAAATGTTAGCTTTCTTTGAATAAGTTTAAAAAAGAAAACTAAAAAACACTGGTTCACTTATTTCTTTAAGATATATTATTTTCTCAGAGCCTTACACCTTGAAAATGTCTGCTGAAAATAAAGTGTAAGGCAAATTTATAATCTCCAAAATTGTAATGTTTTAACATTTCATGTGTTTTAGTATGTAATTTGCTTCAATAATATGAAATATTGAAAATGTCAATAAGATAACTTTTCAAATGCTGATTTCAGACATGATGCAAGTATATTACCTGACTAAAGAAAGAGATGGCTAAAGTATACAGAAAGTTAGCATTGGTAGATAATTTAAATATTATGTAATTCTAAGCTTTCAGTTAAATTACTCAAATAAGGACCACATGAAACACTTTTAATATATGGGCATCAGAGAATAAAGGGTCTCATAAAGTACATATCATACTATCTGCAAATGTATGATTATAGATCAAAAGAGCAAACTGTCTACTGTGGGGGGCTGTCTAGCTTTAAAAACAGGCACCCAAAGGTTTGTACTTTATTTCTTAAATTAAAAAATTCATATCTTCATAAAAGGGGGGAAATTCAGTTCTAGACCTGGAACATCCCAAAAATGGTAACATCTATTTTTGGAGTAATGATAAATACTACTCTGATCAGATTATTAAAATAATACTCTAAATAATAATACTCTGAGCAATTCCAGCATTATAATCACAAAAAAATGTTAACTGTAGTAAAACAAAATAGTACTCATGTGAAACTCTAATATAATGGAATAAAAGCTGTCTTTTCAGTTCTTTCAATATTTCCCTGAGTGGTATCCATTCCTGACAACAAACATTTCTTAGAGTAGAATCTAGCCCACCACAAATATGTTCATCACACTGTAATCATGTTCACACAAACTAAGTCTGCATCCATACATATTGATTTTATTTTCTCTGTCATATTCACGATGCTAACCTCTAAAACAGTATAGCAGAGTATTAGATTTGGTTTCACACTATAACTGTAACTTACTATTTAAAATGTCACATTTTAGATATTGCTTTTTACAAGTTAAAATAACCAACTTGTAAAATAGGCATCTAAGAGAAACCCATTAAATAGAGGATATTCATGACCAATATTGAAAGATAAATACTTAAGAGACAACTAAAGTAAAACTATCAAAATTCAGTTTCCAGAATTCTCATGCATGAATGACCAAGTGAGTAATGGTAAGAATTCCAGAGCATCAAAATAGGTAATATTTGTGTTACCCTAATATATTTTCTACCTGATGCAGAAATATAAATTTTTCATTGGCCCTTAGCTACAATACACAGCTACATACCTAGCATATATATAGCTCTGAAGAACTGCATCTTTAACTCCTAAAGTAAGTTCCTATAAATGATAAGGCTGAAAAGGGGAAGATGAGGGTGCAAAGATGAAGTACATTCATGTGACACAGGAAGTTGGACTTCAACACATCCTTCCCTTTTATTAGGTTACTCAAGCTGCAGACAAGTGGCCATTTGAGAATCAGGCCCTTTCTGAAAGTCTTCAACGAGTGGACTGAATGTTCAAGGAAACATGGGAGTTTTAGAAATGACAAACCCTTTCATCCCATAACCCCTGACATCGGTAGCTCAGACATCACTTTGCTTCTTTACACCCTTCTCCTCCACTGGCCGAAAAACTACTTCTTCCATTACTGATCCCTTGCCAGTTCACACACACACACACACACACACACACACACACACACACACACACACGATGCACACACTTACACACGATGCACACAGAAGAGTACATGCCATCCATGAGGGCTGCCCCATCATCCTAGCGCCCACATTCAGCACACGCTCACTCCCACTCTCAGACCCGTCCCACTGGCCAGGAGACACGGGACCGCAGGGAAGCGGGGTACGGAGTGAAAGCTTCTGTCCCCATCGGCTCGCCGTCCCTGCGCCCCCGCCCCGCAGCGTTACCCGCCCCCTTCCCGCTCTTTACCTGCCAACAGGTTCCTAATCTCCTCGGGGAGGGGACAGGGAGAGGAGGTACTGCTGGGGTTGGGCATGTCGGGGAGCGCGGGGCGTGCGGGGGAAGGACCTGCTTGGGTTGCGGCTGCGACCTAGCCTCTGGCTAGCAGTCCGGTGAGCACAGCGGGACTACGATTCCGGACACTGCCGGGCCGGGGATCCCAACAAGGAAGTCACTGAAGCCGGCCCTCGGCACTGGACTCTCGGCCCTGCCCCGCCCGCAGATCGGGGCGGGACGATGGGCGGCGCGGAGACCGATGCCTGAAGTGCCCCAGTGCGCATGCGTGTCCCTGGGTTTTCCTAACCTCCGGACAGAGCCTCCGGGCAGGCACGCCCCCCTCTACGTCAGCGAGCGGGAGGCGGGGCCGCTGGTGGGAAGGGAGCGTGGGGCTGCGTCACCTGACCTGCGCCTGAAGCTCTGGCCGCCATTTTTGTGACTGGTACCCCCAGACCCGCTGACCATTTCCTGGTCATCTCGGAAAACACCGTATCCATGGTGCATCCAAGCCTTCCGATTGAGAGACCTGGCCAACGATCTGCACCACCGAGGTTTGACACCTGGCCTGGTACCCATAAGGAATTTTCCACCGCCCTGAGCTATTGTGGCCTTCTTTGTCCGATTTCGTGAAGGCAACAATGTTCCCGCTTCCGCCAGTCCTCCCGGAGAAGCCAGTCCGGAGAGCGATGATTGGCCCTTCCGTTATTTTCTGCCTAATTAGGATTCTTGGGTGATTTCCCCTACAAGAACGAAGAGTGGGGAGCTCTAGTCACTATCCTTTTGACTAGATAGATAGATAGATAGAGATAGAGAGATAGATAGATAATAGGTGGGTGGGTGGGTGGATACCACTGTCCATCCAAGCATCAAATTGCTAATGATTAGAAGAGTAGAATTATAAAATATATTCACTCCAACCTGATCCTTTAGTCAACAAGAATTATTGTCTTCCATCTGTAAATCTTCTCTCACGTTTTCTCTAAAATCCCAAAAGACACTGGCGGGGGGGAGGGAGAGAGAGAGAGAGAGAGAGAGAGAGAGGGGGGGGGGGGGAGGGGAGAGGGGAGAGGGGGGAGGGGGGAGGGGGGAGGGGAGAGGGGAGAGGGGAGAGGGGAGAGGGGAGAGGGGAGAGGGGAGAGGGGAGAGGGAGAATATGAATTGTGTGTGTGTTTCTATATGGGGAGAGGGGAGAGGGGAGAGGGGAGAGGGGAGAGGGAGAATATGAATTGTGTGTGTGTTTCTATTTCTTCCGATAGGAACTGCCATGGAGAAGCTCTTTCCTAGATGTTACTATTATATTTTGAAGATAGTATTGGGCTCCAAGCACAATGTAAATTGTTTATTCCTCTACCGTCCTGACTAGATCATTGGCCCTTAAACTTTAGTTTGCATTAGAACCACAGAAAGAACCTATTACAATGCGGATTCCGAAGTCCACTCACAGGGATTCTGATTCAGGCCGTTTAGAGTAGGACCTGATCGTTTGCATTTTTAAACAAGCCTTCCGGGGGTTCTAATCTAAACATCCTGAGGTTTGATTTTGAGAATCATAGGGCACAAAGTGTGTCATAACTTTCATCCCCAACTGGAACCCTAAACCTGACATAGAATAATAGCTCTATTAATATTTCATACCAAAATCAGTAACAGTAAGAAAATTAAAGTCAAATGCAATGGCATTTTTCTATAATTCTCTAAGAGGTACAACACACTAATTGTAAAAGGAAAAAGTAGAACATTTTGGAGTCTTCTCAACAAAAAACAAAACCAAAAATTGAAAATTAAAGTAAAACATACAACATAACAAAAAGACACCCCCAAAACAAACCCATTTCCTAAAATAAAAACTGAAATTCCTACTCAGATTTAGATATGTGATGAATTATAGAAAGAGTGCTGAAAATTCTAATTCTTTTCAGTGGAGGTAAAGGTGAGTATAGAATCATTTTACAACATTGGTCCTCCAACTTCAAAGAATTATTATTCTTAAACTACAAAATTATCTTTCTTTCTAAAGAAGGAAGAAACTATTTCATGGGCATTTTGTATTAGTGAGGATTCTTCCTTCTTTACAGTTATTACATATAATTCTTTGTCTTGTCACGTTTTTTTTAAATATTAAAGTAGGCTTCCAAATGTTCCTATCTTTTGTTTTCTTCTGATAGACCTGGCCAGATTTTTTTTTATTCTCCTGTCTCATTCATTTATTTATACTCAACTCATTCCACAAAGGAATTGAGGTGATTTACTCTTGTATCAAATAGACAGCTTTCAGGAGTGTATCAAATGGACAGTGTCTACACTGCTCATTATGACAAGTCATTCTTGTTACTGAGAGACAGGAAACTATTAAGATGGCCTTAAAATATATAGCATCTAGTAGTCCAAATAAAAAAGGCAATAACAGAAAATGGACTTTTTGTATGAAACACATTTCCCCTGTTTAGGAAACCATTCTCAGACACAGCTTCATGATGGATTCATTTGGGCAAGGCTTGTATACTCTATCATTTTTACTGTTTATTGTTAAAGTTACTGAAATTGATTATAAGACAGAAAGAGAAATAAACAGAGGCTAGGAAAAATATATTCTTATTTCTCTTGTTTCCATAACAAAATCTAGGAAGGAAATCAAATCATACTTTACATTTCTTAAACTAGTCATATTAGATAAAAATGAATAATAAATGAAACTTTAAATCTCAACCCAAGAGAAGTAGCAGCTGCCCCACCATTCTGCAAAGGAGAGACTAGACCAGGGGTGGGCAAACTTTTTGACTCGAGGGTCACAATGGGTTCTTAAACTGGACTCAGAAGAAGGAGCTGCGGCCGTGTTTCCCGACGTTGCCAGGTTAACACTGCTGCTGGTGAAGGAGCGGAGGGGAGAGCAAGAGAACACTCCGCTCTTTCGGCTCCACGGGCCAGATAGAACAGCCGAACGGGCTAGGCCGGATCCGGCCCGCAGGCCGTAGTTTGCCCACAGCTGGACTAGACTCTGGGGGAGGGGGGAAATCTCATGATCTATCTTCTCAAAAGTAAATAAATCCTCCAGTTCAAAGAATAAATAAATATATATATGTGATATATATACATATATATATCACATATATATATGTATATATATATCACATATATATGTGTATATATATATATATATATATATATATATATATATATATATGTCATGCGACATTTAAGAGTGGGGATACATTCTGAGAAATGTGTTGTTAGGCAATTTCATCTTTGTGCAAACATCATAGAGTATACTTACACAAACCTAGATGTTATAGCCAACTACACACGTAGGATATATGGTATACTCCTGTCTATATATTCCATTGTTGACCAAAACATCCTTACGTAGCACATGACTGTATATCTTCCTATAACTAAAGCTAACCCCCTTACTTACATCTCTTTTTAAAAATATATTTTTTATTGATTTCAGAAAGGAAGGGAGAGGGAGAAAGAGAGAGAGAAACATCAATGATGAGAGAGAATCACCAATCGACTGCCTCCTGCACACCCCCTACTGGGGATTGAGCCCACAGCATGGGCATGTGACTGACTGAGAATCAAAACATGACCTCCTGGTTCATAGGCCAATGCTCAACTACTGAGCCACGTGGGCTGGGCCATGTTTCAAATTTAGCTTAGCTAAATAAGTATTTTCCCACAGGCCCAGGTTTAAAGGAATCTTAATGAGCATTGTAGAAAAACAGTGAGCTAAAACACAATTTACTTTCCTCTGCCTCTCGTTTGGCTGTCATAGACATATGGAAGAAATACTTAGGTATTGTATTAGTTATCTGTTGCTGCATAACAAAACTTAACTTAAAGCAAACAGTAAATATCTCACAGTTTCTGATGGTTAGGAATTCATGAGCAGTTTAGCTGGATGGCTCTAGCTCAGAGTCTCCCAGGAGGTTACAGTCAAGCTGTAGACTGGGCTGCAGTCATCTGAAGAGTTGACCATAGCTAGAGGATCAGCTTAAAGAAAGCTCACCCATAAGACTGTTGGTTGAAGTCCTCCATTCCTCTTCTGCTATTGGCAAAAGACCACAGTTCCTCATCACATGAACTTCTCCACAGGGCTGCCTAAGCTGTTCTTAACATGACAACTGGCTTCCTCCAGTGGGAATGATCCAAGATATAGGACAACCAAACAGAAGCTGCAATGACTTCATGACTTAATATCAGAAGTAGCATAACTTTACTGCTTCCATATTTCATTGGTCACTAGTTACATAGAGGGAAGGGACTACACAGATTATGTGTACTAGGAGGTAAGAATCAGCTCTCTTGTCTGCAGTGATTCACATCTCTCCCAGTGAAAAATAAAGCCATCTCCTCTCAAAGCCACCAAGGAAGTCATATCCTATTACAAAGTCTCATCAGCTCGAAGTCCAAACTCTCATTTAAATTGAGTCCAGATGTGGATGATGTTTCTTAAATACAGCTGCTTGAGTACAGTTCTCTTGATCTGAAGACCCAGGAAGTAAAAAGATAAGTTGTCTGCTCCCTCACATAACATACATGGTGGGACAGGCGTGGGATAACCACTATAGGCATTCCTGTTCTAAAAGGGTGGGGACAGTAAGAAGTATATAGAGACCACTGGTTCATAGCAATTATGAAATTTAATAAGGAAAATGTAGCAACTGGAATAACTTCTCCATGGATCTTGGGTCTGCCCTCTGATTCATCCTTTTCCAAGAAAGGTAGTCTATGTTTTCCATTGTGTAGTTTTCTCAACCTGCTTTTCATTTTTTAAAAATATCTTTTTTTATTTCAGAGAGGAAGGGAGAGGGAGAGAGAGATAGAAACATCAACAATGAGAGAGAATTATTGATCAGCTGCCTCCTGCATGAACAGAGATCGAGCCTGCAACCTGGGCATAAGCCCAGACTGGGAATCAAACTGTGACCTTCTGGTTCATAGGTCAGTGCTCAACCACTGAGCTGCCTCGGCAGGGCTGCTTTTCATTTTATATTGTCACTATCCTGATGTGTCTCAGGGTTGAATTAGAGAATCGAAAACTCTAGAATGAAGGTAAATAGAGAGATATAATATAAAGGAATTTGTTACAGAGGTTTGACCCTACACAATTGTGGAAGGTGGTAAATAGATGCTGGAGCTTGAATTCCACAAAGCAGTCAGGAAGGGGTAAGGGAGGAAATATGTGACAAGCTGGAACACAGAAGCACAAGCCACAGTTCATGAGGAC